GAAAGACATTGAGGTGCTGGAGCATGTCCAAGAAGGGCAATGAAGCTGGTAAGAGGTTCGGAGAACAAGTCTTATGAGGAGCGGCTGAGGGAACTGGGGTTGTTTAGTCTGGAGAAGAGGAGGCTGAGGGGAGACCTGATCGCTCTCTACAACTACCTGAAAGGGGATTGCGGTGAAGTGGGTGTTGGTCTCTTCTCCCAAGTAATTAGCAATAGGACGAGAGGAAATTGCATTAAGCTGCGCCAGGGGAGGTTTAGACTAAATATTAGGAAATATTTCTTTACTGAGAGAGTGGTCAAGCATTGGAACAGGCTGCCCAGGGAGGTGGTGGAGTCACTGTCACTGGAAGTGTTCAAAAAACATGTAGACATGGCACTTGAGGATATGGTTTAATGGGCATCAACCCAACACCCAATGGTGTTGGGTTGATGGTTGGACTTGATGATCTTAAACGTCCTTTCCAACCTTAATGATTCTGTGTATTACCTTATTAAATAGCATCCTTGCAGGGGATGTCTTCCCTAAAGGACTAAGTCTACAGTAGTGCATCAGTTACTATTCTTTTTTTCTTTTTCTTTTTCTTTCTCTTTTTTCACTCTAGAGTGACTTAGGCAGAGGGGAGCAAAAAAGTAGTCCCGCAAAGATGGATGCCTGGTGGTCTTCAGCTAAACTACTTTGTTTTCTGCTCTCTTTGTCCAAAATGCACTTCTATTGCAATAAACTGCAAAATTGGTCCTCTGCCCAAACTGGCTAGTGCTTCTGAGTATTTCCAATAGAAATATTCATCAAGGTAGTGGAGTGTTCCTACTTGTGACAGAGAAAAGAGCCCTCTGCTATGCAAAGAGACATTTTCTTGCATTTTCAACATGGAATTGAAAGCAGACTGTGAGTAACCAGCGAGAATTACTTAGAAGGACCAGGACCTAGACCCTTAGGACCAGATGTGATGGCCAGTATTCTGTGTTACATTTCTTGGAGGCAAGAATGACATTTCTGTATTTCAAATTTGGGAATGAAAGAGAGAAGCAAAAAAGGACCATGTACCCTTCTAATAGACTACAGGTTGTAGAGCCAAGGGCCTGGGACTTGAGGTTTTTTTCCTTTGGGGTCCTGATTTCAGAAACAAAAACTGTAAAAGCGCTTTCTTTTTTCCATGCAGAGAAATAAGAAACAACCTAGCAAGAAAAGAAAGGCAAGTCTATGATGAATGGATTATTAAAATTCAAAATAAATTTCATATGGAAAAACCGCATACCAACAGTGAAACATCTCTCAAGTCCAGCTGCCTTTTGTTTTCATTAGTACTTCAATTTATGTGTGTTTATTCTCTGCTTTTATTCCACAGACTTTTAAAGAGGATAAATACTTGAAAGATGCTATGGACTGTAGTGATGTCATCTGGCAGAGAGGTTTATTGAGAAAAGGATATGGGATCTGCCATGGTACTGCTGGCAATGGCTACTCCTTCCTGTCGCTCTACAACCTAACTCAGGACAAAAAGTACCTCTACCGAGCTTGCAAGGTGAGCTCTGCAGCATCCCAACACAATTACTGTTCCCTTTCATGTCATAATGCCCATGCAAGAGTAAACTGTGATCAGAGTAGGCTGTTGTGTGCTAGAGCTGGAGCTTGCTGGCTGTGCAGTTGGGTGGGACAACAGTGGCCTGTCACTTCTTCCCCTTTACTCACACTTTGACTGGACGGCTTCAGCTGGGTACATGGGACACGCATCATCTTAATACACAGAGTGAAACACACAAGTGTTCTGTAAGGTGAGAGGAACTAAACATGTATTCAGAAGAAAATAGAGTCTGAAAATCAGCCTGCCTGAACAATAACAGACTAATGTTATGTGGTGCTAATTATTCCATTGAGACATCCACTGTCATCCTCAGCTCCTCAAGCGATACTGTTTGTAGTCTTTTGTAATTATTTGTTTTCAGACTAATGTCTCTTTGGGGCTTTTAGAGCTCTGAATTGCAGTTATTAAATTGCTTGCTTAGGGTTTTTTTTTTTCCATACATTCAGAATTTTTCCACTGGAACTCTCCAGGCTCTGCTATCTGCTCTGACTATGCTAGCAGTTACCAAAGGAGAAGGCTTTCTCTGCCTCTGTTTCCTCATCTCATAAGACTTTTGTTTTGTTTGGGTTTTTTTGTTTGTTTTGTTGGGTTCTTTTTTCAGTTTAATTCACCGATACTAGGTTTCATATTGCATACATAGCTGTTTAGCTGAGGCCTTTTTAAAAGTATTGCTATGGGGAATTTGATGAGTTGCTTCTCAGGTGCTTTCAGATGAGCACTGGCAATATGTAAAGGTATTGTATTCATCTCCACTGTCAGGCTGTCCTCTGCCAGCAGAGCTTTAAAAAGTTGCTGCTTGTCTCACATTTGCCAAAGCATCATGCCATGAGGACACCTGTAGGCATACTTGCATCCTAGAGAATGTAATAAACTCCTAGCATTCCCACAGCAAATGTGTGACTTCATTACATGTGGACTCACCCACTGCTGATGTGTGAGCCACAGCATCAAGCAGGCATTGCTGTCGGCACAGCTGTCGGGCTCTCCCTGTCATCCTCCATGCTACTACATCTGTGGCTCTGTGCAGTGTTTGCAACTCCTACTGCATTTTGGGCCCAAGAGAGCCCTGTCGTTCTTCCATACCAAGCTAGAGGAAAGCAAGTGTATCTATTTCAAAGCCAAAGAAGGAAGAGGCTCAGTTACGTACCTGAAATCCTTTTTAGAAGGAAGATGTAGCACAGTGGCCAAAGACTGTTGGAGTGGAGGTGCCCAGCATAGTTGCGTCTGGCAGTGTATTTGCAGCCCTGCTGCATTTTAAGCATCTCCAGCATTCAGCCAGGCCCTTTAGGCTTTTGCAGGGGAGATCTTGAAACAGAGGAATTTGCTTGTCTTTGGCATTCTTGAAATCTTTTCTTTTTGAGCCAGAGCATGCAGGGAAGCAAGTGTGCAGTTATGTTGGTACCGGCAGGCATGCAACTGAGAGAACGAGATGGCTCCCCTCCCAGAGGGGTTTGCTCACACTGAAAATATGAGGCCCAGAGGAAGAAGTCTAGCCAGGAATCCCTGGTGACGTCTTGGGAGCCATGAAACTGTTTCACAAATGAACCAGAAGAGCTTGAAAGGCCATGGCTCACAGAGACTCCTGGTTTGTGCTTCTTACTTCCGGCTTCACAGCTTTTCTGCAGGCTGAGGCTGAGTTGCTCCTAGTTGTCCTGCCTGTGAGAGGAAAGAGGGGCTGTGGCATCCTGGGCTTCAGGCAACAGAGAGCATCCAAGCCCCATGCTGTTCAGAGTTGTGTTTAAAACACTGCTGATGGCAAGCGTGCCCAGTCTATGTGACAAATTGTGCTGGTTTTGACTGGGATAGAATTAATTTTCTTCACAGAAGCCAGTATGAGGCTATGTTTTGGATTTGTGCTGGAAACAGTGTTCATAATACAGAGGTGGTGGTGTTACTGCTGAGTAGTGCTTATACAGAGTCAAGGCCTTTTCTGCTCCTCATCCTACCCCACCAGCAAGTAGGCTGGAGGTGCCTGGGAAGTTGGGAGAGGACACAGCCAGGACAGCTGACCCCAACTGACCAAAAGGATATTCCACACCATATGATGTCATGCTCAGCTTATAAAGCCTGTTTGGAATGATGGTGTTTGTCTTCCCAAGTAACTGTCACAAGTGATGCAGCCCTGCTTTCCTGGAGATGGCTGAACACCTGCCTGCCGATGAGAAATGGTGAATGCATTCCTTGTTTTGCTTTGCATGTGCAGCTTTTGCTTTCTCTATTAAACTGTCTTTATCTCAGCCCACAAGTTTTCTCACTTTTACTCTTCTAGTTTTCTCCCCCATCCCACTGTTGGGGGGAGTGAGCGATCAGCTGTGTGGTGCTTAGTTGCTGGTTGAGGTTAAACCATGACAGTCCTTCTTGGTGCCCAGCATGAGGCACGAAGGGTTGAGAGAACACGTTTGACCAGAGTGTGTTAAAACAAATTGTTATAAGCATTCATTATATTAGTTTAATTGTTGCTGGTCACAATATTGTTTTATTTGTTTGCCCAGAGTTGTTCTAGGAGTTGTATTATGTAAAATCTTGCTGTGTATACTGTTTGTCAGTGTTTATGTGGGGTGTATTACCTCTGGGCATTGGATTAAGGTTATCGCTTGCTGTACTGTCTAACACAGCTTATGGTATGATAAAATCATTGGTCCTTAGTCCAGTATAGTATTTGTACTCAGCAGCAATGGGCAGCGGGCAGGGCAGAGTGGCAACGGCAGCTTCATCTCCGTACTTTGGGAGCCATCTATTGAAAACTATTAATAATTACACTTTTTACCTTTTCTTCTCAGAGAGCCAATTTATGGAGGAGACACCTTCCTTATTCTTCTCTCACTCCCCCCATGGTGGGATGGAGGAGAAAACTGGAAGAGTAAAAGTAAGAACACTCACGGGCTGAGAAAAAGACAGCTTAATAGTGAAAGCAAAAGCCACACACGCAAGCAAGGCAAAACATTCATTCACTACTCCCCATGGGCAGGCAGGTGTTCAGCCATCTCCAGGAAAGTAGGGCTCCATCACTTGTGATGGTTACTTGGGAAGACAAACACCGTAATTCCAATCACTCTCCCCCTTCCTTCTTCCCCCAGCTTTATATGCTGAGCGTGATGTCATATGGTATGGAATATCCCTTTGGTCAGTTGGGGTCAGCTGTCCCAGCTGTGTCCCCTCCCAACTTCTCAGGCACCCCCAGCCTACTCGCTGGTGGGGTTGTGTGAGGAGCGGAAAAGGCCTTGACTCTGTGTAAGCACTGCTCAGCAATAACAAAAACATCCCTGTGTTATCAATGCTGTTTCCAGCACAAATCAAAAACATAGTCTCATGCTGGCTTCTATGAAGAAAATTAACTCTCTCCCAGTCAAAACCGGCACACAAATAATGGCAGATGTCCTCCTGCTAAAGGATATTTCTTTTTTTTTCCCCTTGGTTTAACAAACGTATTTGTGTAGCTTACTGGATCTGTGAGTTGTGCTGAAGCTATGAACTTGTAAACGATGGTTGTGCTTCAGTAGCCTGGGGTGCATATTTTTAATTTCTGCTGCAGTTCCCAGGCTGGCAGTAATAATAAAGGCTAGTATGCAGTAAGACATGGATGTTGCAAGAATTGATTGTAATTTAGAAACATGTCGTAAACATGCTCTGTCCTCACATATAAGACAAGATTACATGGAGAATTAAATCTTGTTTTGAAGATTTATACCTGTGGGGGGCCCAAAAATGTTTCATCAGTTCTCAATAACAGTGTAGACCGCGATGTTTGTGTTTGTGGGTTTTTTGCTGTGTTTCCTCAAGACATTCACATGCCTGCACACACCCCTTCCAAGAGACAAAAAATCCATCCGCCAGTAAACATTTAAACAGAAGAGAGTGGGGGGAAGAAGGGAGGAGGTGCCACCCTTTATGCTCCCGTTGAACAGATTGATGGCTCTGGGGGCATACTCATACCCCGTATCACTGGAACTCTAGAGCCATGGCAGTTAGTAGGATGAGCTGCTTGCTAGCAGGTTGCCCAAATTCCAGGAGGAGTGGGGAGAGACCTCTCAGTTCTTTGCTTTGCAGGAATCTTCGCACTGTATTTTGAATAAGCAATGGTTTGCTTCCAAGCACAGACGTGCCAGGGGAACTTGTGGCCCTCCACAAGAAAGACACTGTTAACTTTTTAATGGTATTCCATCTTCTGCAACAAAATATTGATGACCATAATTGTCTAACTGTATTTATAATGATTTTTCATAAGGATTGGGGAGAGCAAATAAATAAAACTAAGTAATGGCCGCTGGAGATTTAATACTCTAAATTGGTGCACAGAGTGAAAGAAAACCAAAATGCAATTAACAACTGAGTCCTGAGCATGTGGATAAATTAAGCACCAAGACAGATAAGAAACTGATATTAGAGTATTAGAAAAATTTTCCCCTTGAAATGGAATATTATCTGTTCTCGCAGCATTTTTCATTGGCGTGCAGCAGGGTTGATTTACAGAAAACAGAAGTTAAGAACAGCCCACCTAATTACGTTGTTAGGAAACTGAAACTTGTGCTGTGGAAATACATATCCTAAAACCTAATTCTAGCCTTGTCACAGTTAAAGGGGGACAAATTGATCTCGGACAGTGATTTCTGTGTGTGCCTCTGCTTACACTACTTTACATTTAGTACCTGTTAAAGATATGCAGACATGCAAGCTTGCATTTAACAGTCTTAACAATGTTTTCCCCAGTTTGCTGAATGGTGTTTGGAGTATGGTGCACATGGATGTCGTATTCCTGACCGACCTTATTCTCTCTTTGAAGGTAAAGTGACGGTCTTGCAAATGGTGTTGTGTTATACAGGGAAGAAGGGCAACCTTGCAGTTTTGGCACATGCTTAGGAGTTGGGAAATCTTTGGTGGGTTCCTCTACTATTAAAAATAGACCCACGCCCACCACCACTTCTGCCTAAAAGAAGGTGGGTGGTGGGGGGAGGGGGAGAAAAAGACAAAAGAAAATAATTCACTATCATGACTTTCACTTTTGATTGCATTTCAGCAGTTTCCAATGTAAAGCCAGTGCCACTGTCATTCTTGAATAAAATTCCTCTGTGCTGATGCCTCTTGACTTAAAGCAAGCAGAAGTCCGGGCAACAGTTTTGTCACAGGTGTTGCAGAGGGACTGGGCAGAGGAGCAGCTGTGGGTAGGGGGTCTTAAAGTAGTTGCTGGCTTGTCAGAACTAGACCTTCTCTGCTGCAGTACTAATGCAAGGAAAAGCTAGTTTTAATATGAACCCAAATCATTTCAACAGAAAAGAAATGCAGAGTTCTTAGGGGCTTTTCTGTAAGTTCAAAGATGTTCCTACATACTTTCCTAGAGCTTTCTTTTCTTTTTAATTTGTAATTTATTTTCTATTCTCTATCTCATCCTTATGTTTTAGAAACACAGTAGTAAGGAATCATAGACCCAAGTAGGATTTAAAGTTAGTGCTGCTATTTCATGAACAATGAGTCTAGTCTGCCACCTATCACAAATACGTGAAATTACAGCAGACCGAATAGGATTATTTTATGAACAAACCAGTCCCAAGGTGTGAACACAAGAGAGCAGTAGTTGTATGCATCCCTTCTAAATACATACCTATTGTCTTAATGTTTAATGGAGAAACGTATAAGTATTCTTATTCCTGAGAGCTCCCGTGCATGCACTTGTAGAGGGAAAAAGTCTGTTGTATAAGAGCTTTGAATTTTGTTGAGAAGCTGAAGTAATGCCAACAATAGGATGATTTGTGCTTTAATGCTAACATACAGCTTTTATTTTAATTTTTTAACGTCAGTGATTTTTTTTAGACTCCATAATTCTCAAATTTGAGACAAAAATTCTTAATCGTGCTTGAAGTTGTCCAATTCAGCATGTATGTGCAAACTTTCAGAGGAAGTTGCATGTCTCAATCGTTTCATTTGCATCAGATGCTGCATTTCAGGAAGGTTCCTTTGTTTGTATGTGCTTTCAGCTTGCTCATAAAACTGAGCTTGTATTTGAATGCTCTCCCACTGTAGGGTGTCTCTGTTGTCTGTCACCCTAACAGTTTTATTAGGTGATGCTGGTGTTAGTGCTCCAGGCTCTGGATGAGCTCTGTATGAATAGCAAACAAATGGATCTACATCACAAGTACAACAAAGTTTTGCCTTTGTTTTTTAACCATTGAAATGACGAGCAAGAGCTGCTCAAATTCTGAGGGACAGTCCAAACTGGGATTTACTTTGTCTTAATGGAGGTAGCATTGAGGTTGTGCAGCTGAAAACATGGCAGCAGAGAGGTCTTTGTTCTTGCCTTTGATCTTTTCAAGTGAAACTTGGTTTCCTGGGCAAAAACAGATGAACTTGCCTTTCACCTTTCAGATGAACTGGCCCTAAGTTCACCTGTTGAAAAAAAGGTCTGGTGAGGAAGTGTTCAAACAGGTGCTGTTGCCTTTGGTGTCAGCTGTGCTATTTTAATGTCAAAGATGCATAAAGATCTCTTTCTCGTTACATTTTAGGCATGGCTGGAGCTATTCATTTCCTCTCAGATATTTCAGTACCGGAGACTTCCCGGTTTCCAGCATTTGAACTTGGACCTCAAAGGAGGGAAAACAAAGTGGAACAGGACAGCTAAAAGATTATTTTGAAAGGAAACTGATGCCAAAAGAGATGAGACTGTTTAGTGCCTCTGATACTGAACCAACTCAGCCCTGAACCAACGGATGGATACACCCCTTTTCTCTCCCCTCTCCGCCCCAAAGGACCATGAAGTCATTAGAGCATGAACAGGAGAAGCCACATTTAAGTTCTGTTAAAGTGACACCTTCAGATGTAGGACAAGAGAAGTCAAGTTTTGAACTTTCTCTCTTCCGTTGTATTACTTGTCTTCTTCAGGTCTCTGACATGCTCTGCATGTTTATTGGTGTTGTCTGTTGATTCGAGTCTTTTGTTGTTAGCAAAAAGATGGTCTCTGTGTGAATCTCCATCCTGTACCTTTGTGCATGACTCACAACAGCAGTGTTGCTTTCTGCAGTGTGGGTATCCAGAGAGTTACACCTTATGCCAGAAAGTTCACTGTAGGACAGTGCCTAGCTTCACTGGTGAGCTGGCAACTTTAAAGACAGATGAAAAAAGTTTTTATGTTCATACTTTTCTGCATTTTTCTCCACAGTCCCTGGAAGCTAAGGTGATGGAGATGAACCTGTTTTGATTAAGAGGTATGAGGCCATCTCAGTTTTCAGAAACTTAGCTGCTGTTGTGGGAGGTTTTTTTTGAAACCCTGAGAGAGATACCTGCACCTGGTTAGTGTGTTTGTTAGGCACTTACAGCAGGGTGGAGATGCTTGTCCTCACCTCTGCAAAGCCCCATCCCATGGCATAAGCTTAACAAACTGAAGGTGGAGTTGCCCATACTAACCTCCTGCTGCCACCAAGAGCAGAGCAAGGGGCAGCACAACTGTGCTTCCCCTCTCCTGTACGTGGATTTGTAAGAAACCTGTCCTGCAGCATCTAGCATACAAATGAGTAAGCGAGGGCATTGGGGCAGTTTCTCATGCTGGTAACTCAGGATGAGTGTTGCTTCTGAACCAAGGAGGTGATTTGTTCTGGGCCCTTCCCTCCCTCTCCCAGCCCCACACTGCATTTAGTGCATGTAGTATGATAGGAGCAATAAATACCAGCTGCTTGTGGAAGCTGCAGAAGATTAATGAGCCATATGAAAGCATTGCTAGAAGCTGTAATTGAAGTTGATTTCATCTTACAATGAAAGCAGAAAAAGCCCTTTGCCCTTAGTTTTAACTGTGCTGCTAGTGCTTTGCATCCCCTTGTAGCGTGGTGGGGTTGTGAAATACTAGACCTGCCTCTGGGTGCCCCAGAGTATCAGTCTCTTGTTTTGGGAGAAGTGGGACATACTAAGTACACTTACAGCAGGCTTATGTGTTCCAGAGAGCAAGTACGCTTATTGCTTGGGAAAGGTAAGGAAGCGTAGCACACTGTCACTCGTTCAAGCTCTGTTGTGATCCTTCCCCCAGGTCTCCCTGTGCTCTCTCATTCCATGCGCTTATTTTAATTGATAACCTTCTCTCGGGTGGCAAGTGTGACAGATGGCCGAGACTTTGACCTTTCAGGCATGCATTGGGGTAGATGTGACCTGTGAGCCATCTGCTGAGCGCCAGTGTTTGCAGTTGGGCTTGGAGATGCATTAGTTGCTCCTGCATAAATCTCTGAACGGTAGCGGTGACTTCCTTGAGCTTTATAGTGTCTGTTGCCAAACCCATTGGGATGTTAATAATCTCCACATTTAGTTCTGCTGGGCAATAGCAGCAGTGCCAGTGGAGGGACAGTTTAATGTCACAGTGTAGCTCCTCTGCTGGTTTTGTCAGGTAGGACTAAAACATGGGAGCAGCGGGAGAGACTTTTCCACTCCTCTGGCAAAGGGGAGAAGATGAGGTACCAAATCCAGCTGCATTTCTCCAGGCAGGGACAAGGGAAAACGCTGAAAGGCAGGGATGCTGCATGGCAAGCAGCTGGGGTGTGGCAAACTGGAACAGAGCAGCAGAAAGCAGAGGGATAAGTGAGGAACGGGGAGAGCTGATTACAGGAGGCAATGCACAGAGCGCAGCAGTAGAGGACATCTCAAATGCGATGTTCCTCCCTGGCAAGCATGCTAAGGTCTAACTGTGTGTGTTTCTTCAGCCTGTGGATCACTGATCCTGCCCATAGATAAGCCAGGGAGGAAACTTGCCCAGGGTGAAATCTCGCTGAAGTTCTAACAAAGGAGGTAGACAGCAGCTCTGCTAGTATTTCACATCACCCCCAGCCCTTTTTTCCTTCCCCTCCACTGGAACTGCAGAGCGTGTGGGGTGGGTTAACAGGGAAGGGTCTTGCCAGGTTTGCAGGAACTGTCTTGCAAACACAGAACAGAAGCCACAGGCCTTCCCAGCAAAGCCCCAGCATGTATAATACTGACCGCTGAACAGGAGGGTCAATGGGCAGGTTTTTTCATTCACTGATACATACATATATGTCGTCTTGGCTGCTGAGCTTGGAATGACACCTGTGGGAGGTGATTTTGGCTGCCTGGAGCCCAAGGGGAATTAAAACTTGCTGGTTTAAAAAATATGTAGGTATATACACACTTCGAACAGCTTAATACTGAGCAGATCTCCAAGATGCTTGAGTGCACATGTCGAAATAATGAGCAAGTCAGCTACCAGCTCTTTCTCTACCATAGCCACCCTTCTGCTGCGGTCTGGCCTGGCAATGTCTTTCTGTGCAGAATCCTACTGGAATTCAGCAAGACTGGAAATGTAACCTGTCGAGTTGGGAAGCATCTGATAGTGCATCTGCCTCGTCTTGCTGACTTGACTTTCCCTGTGGTTCCCCCTTTCTGTTCATCACAGCATTGTGATATCTAGGTGGCCCATAAAGAAAGGATATTGTGCAAAGGTGAAAAATGCATTTCACCAAGGCATTGTTTTCAGACATCACATCAAACTAAAAATGTGGAAAATGTCTTAATATTCCCTGGTTTGCTTTGTCTGTGTGTAATAGTCCATCTGTTGCAAAAAGCAGTAGTGGTAATAAATGGAGATGTTCTTTGGGCAGAAAAAGAGGAAAAAATGCTGATGTTTTGTTCTTTGGCTTTATTAGTAAAGATCAAGCTATGTGGTGGTAATTTGTGTGATCTTTTGTTGTTGTACTCCTTCCTTCCCTCCAGCACTCTGGCAATAGCTGTACCACTGATCTGACTGCTGAAC